ACACTTCTCAGTCTGTTAGCAATCTGAGACTAAACAACAACCACTAAAGAATTCACACTTTTTTAAAATCAGTAGAGTTAGACAACATGAAGCACATGATCCTAAAGTTTTGCTCAAAATATTTTTCTACTACGTTTCCTTAAAATCCTAGAATACTTACCGAGTTAGTATCAGGAAAGTATTTCAAAAGGACGAGCAGTACGATCGACACAATTATAAAGCAGTTACTCTGATATCAGTTGGAGGGACCACAAAAGAATAGTTGAATTCAACTAACAGCTCAAAACCCCAAAATATTTAACATCACTAAATAAAGACTGCAAGTACAACTGAAAAATAAATTACTTCATGGATACAGTATGTTCTGACTTACACAACATGGTATTGTTACAACAGCGCTATGTATCAGTAAGGTACACATTAAATGGTCAAGCACTGCCTGCCTACTTGAGAAATGAAGAAAGAGCATTATCAGCTAAAAGGAAACTGCAAAGACCCATTCGAGATGTAATACTTCAATGCTTTTATTATCCTTGATCTAGAGTGACATTGACAGTCCATATCAAGCTAAAAACATCACTTGCTGCTTCTCTATTCCTACAGAAACAAATTAGACAAATTTGAGGTGATCTGACTTGGACAAATCCTGTTAGTTACTTTATCTTCTAAATACATACAAGACCAGCTATGTTTTCACGTATTTTTCTGTGAAGTCAAAATAAGCTGATTTACAATTAAGTTCAACCAATTAGCCTATGGAAACAAAAAAAAAACAAACCCCAAACTAATTGATGCACAAGTAGATTCTCACCAAGAAAATGATTACTAAAGAGCTTTAATCTCTGCTCTTCATTTCAAAAGGATGAGAACATAAAACATGGAAATGAGAAACTGTCACTGCAGAAACACTGAAGTATTTCCATATCTGACCTATATGAGACATTGGACCAGTCTTTTTATTCAATTACTTAATTTCAATTTTATGAACTGCATTTCAACACTATGTCTTCTTATTGCTCTTGACTAGGAATTGTAATGTATGTCTGTTCTTTTTGCATGGAAAACCCTCAATTCTCAACATACACCTTGTCAAGTCATCTCTGTGATTTACCAGCACAGAGGGAAACATTTCTTCAGAAAACTAGATTGCTGGGAGGAAGGAGCACTTAAAGCTACAGGTTTCACATATGAATGTGGAAATACAAAACACATTTTTTTTCTGATTCACTGAAAATTAATCCTACTGGTCAGCTCAAAGACAAAAATACCGACAGTCTAAATTAGATTAGGAAAGACAGACACTAACCAACCAAATACAAATGTTACGGGTTCCATCCCAGCTAGACAAAGCCCGGTTTTCAGTTACCTATTAGCAGAGAAACAAAGAAAAACTCCCATCTCTGCAGAAGGTTTCAAGAGACAGATGACAAAAGACAAAAAAAAAAATCAACTTTCTTCTTGAAAAATTTTAAAATAAATAAGCAGCACAGCAAACTACATTAAAATGAACCTAAAGAGGACATGACTACAAGAACAGAATTCCTCACAGATCATTTAACATCTTATGTTAAAAGACCAAAAAGTGTTTCATTAGGCTGTTGTGGTTTAACCCCAGCTCACAACTAAGCCCCACACAGCCGCTTGCTCGCTCCCCTCGCATCAGGATAGGGGAGAGAATCAGAAGGGTAAAAGTGAGAAAAACACATGGGCTGAGATAAAGACAATTTAGTAGGTAAAGCAAGAGCCGCGCACACAAGCAAAGCAAAGCAGGGAATTCATTCACCACTTCCCATCGGCAGGCAGGTGTTCAGCCATCTCCAGGAGAGCAGGGCTCTGCCATGCATTTGGGCAGACAAACGCCATCGCTCCGAACCTCCCCCCCTTCCTTTTCCTTCCCCCAGCTTTTATTGCTGAGCACGACACCACACAGTGTGGGATATCCCTTTGGTCAGTTGGGGTCAGCTGTCCCGGCTGTGTCCCCTCCCAACTCCTTGTGCACCCCCAGCCCACGCACTGGTAGGTGGTGAGAGAAGCAGAAAAGGCCTTGGCTCTGTGCAAGCACCGCTCAGCTGTAACTGAAACATCCCTGGGTTATCAACACTGTTTCCAGCACAATTCCAAAACACAGCCCATACTAGCTCCTGTGAAGAAAATTAACTCTACCCCAGCCACTCCAGCACATCGGTCTTCTAGGGTTTGGTTTTGTGGGTTTTGGCCTGGTTTTTGTTTTGTTTTTCATTTTTTTCTTTCCATTTTTTTTTCCCTCTCCAAACAGAAGAAAAATAAGAACACTAAATCAACCGTCAAAGACAATGCTGATGAAAACTTTTGATAATTCAGGAAGTAAATTAAAACAAGAAACAGTGTAGGTGACACAGTAAAACTAGATTTTTTTTTTTCTACAGCAACATGTAATCCTACGTAGCTGATGCTAACTGGTCAGCTATATGAATGAAATTATGTATGTTCTGCAAATCAATTTTCATTTACATTTCCTGTTTAAAAGAGTAGGATGTTAAAACTACAGCTGAGTATCTTAACTATTCTGTTTAGATTTACTTACCAAACATCTCATTAGTTTGAAGTATGCAGCAGATACTTAGAATGTGCATTCATGACATTAAGGTCCTACACGTTAGTTACACTAAAAAAAAAAATATTCTGACGCTACTATTTCACGAGATACAATGAACTAGCAATTTACTAAAGTCTAAAACAACACAAAACCTTCATTCTAGGTACATTATCATCATCAACAGGTGTGCTGCAGAAAAACTACACCAGATAGTAAAAAATTTTTATATCACCAGTCTAAATGAACAGCAAGTTCTTACATTTTTGTACATACTTTTTGACAAAGTAATTTTCCTTGTTTGTGAGGCAGCAGGAGAAATTCAATACCTGCAACATGTATTTCATATCCTCTTTTCATTGTATTTACATATAAATATTGTAGCGTAAAAGCAACTTCTGAGATACATGTATGACCGTGACTGTTAGATCATCATGAAACATTAGCATAGCATGAAACAAAAATGTGTTACACAGACAGTAATTCCATTGTGTTTTCACCTCCTATGTCATATGTACTTACTTTGGAATACAGCTTTACAGATTAAGCAGTTTACAAGAAATGTTTGATACAGTGCCAGGTTTCAAAGCATTCCTTTCTTGTTATGTGTCTTGCAAACTGCCAGCTTATTATCAATCAATGTGCTTTGCATCTCAAAAATACTCACCATTCCCAATAATTTATTAAAAAGATAACACAGAAATGCTGCATCATTTTAAAGTGGTATGAATTCACATCTATTTAAACACAAATTTCAGTTATAGAACTTAAATATCAATTAAATACTGCTAACAAAAAATCCATTTCCTTTTAAAACTGAAGACAGAAGATACCAAAAGATACATAACATCAATTTACAATAATCAGCTCTTTCTTGTCACACCTTAGCACACTGTGTGAATATTACATAAAGCCTCAATAAATGTTATCACTTTATTACGGCTTAAAGTAACACAGAGTGAATAAAATGAGTCTTTCTAAAACCTTTTTACCTTCCTCCCACTTGAAATATGCTTTCATGTTTAAATATAAAAAACTTTGGGGTAATTAAAGTATTAATGACCATTTACCATGATTTCCATGATCTTTTTGAGACATGGAAAAAGATAACCATGAAAACTAAAATGCAGTAACATAATTGGTATGAATAACAAACAATGAAGGAAAACAATTAATATAGTTGGAGAGCTTATTTTTTTATATATATATATATACACACACATAATTCAATATATTAACAATCCATGCACTACTGAAGCATTTCAAATAATTAAAACAACTAGTAAAATGTGAAACTGCACACATCAACTTTCATAGTTAATAGAATCTCTTATGAAAATGTTATTGCAGATATACATTAAATTGCACAAATTTAGATTTGCACAATAGGTGTAGAAAACCACAGAAAGATACTTCATTATATACCTGGATTTTCGACTTTCATGGTATTCACACTTTAAAGATGAAGTAATTTTTAGGGCCTATTCAAAGATTTTTCTCGAAGTAAAAAAAATTACACTGGCTTTGGAATTTTCAGAATTCTGATGTCTATGACACCAAATTAGTAATAGAAAACCATGAAAATTCTCTTAGCTACATACTCACGTTCTTGACAAAACTTCCTATTCAGGATTTACTCATCCAGTGTATAAGGAAACCAAGTGTTGTTAGACCTGAAGACAGGTTATTTCAGCTAGCAGGTTAGTAATAGGGCTCATCTGTATAAAATCCTACAAGCTTGAAAAGAATAAAACCTGTTGCATTGAACTACTAAAACAACACCAAAGACAAATATTTTATTAATACAGCAAGCTGTTAGAAAGCAAGCAAAGTGAAAACTTACAAATTCATCATTTTTAAAGAGAAAAAGGGTGGTAGATTAGTCAATCTCCATGCTGGCTCATTCGTTGTTAAGTGCTAAACAGATTACATTGGCTGTGCCAAGATCAGGAATGCAACATGGTTTTACAGAGTTATTGCCTCTATTTATATTGAACTGATGCACCCCAGCTATGGACTGGGACTTGACAGCCTAATGCTTTAATACTTCATTTTTATCATAAATGAAAAAAAAATTGACTTAGAAAGACATAGCTGTGAAATTTCTAGGTTTTAGTAAAAAAAATGTAGTGTTTTTTTTTTTAAATCAGCACAAAAAGTTGGTGGTGCGCAGCCATCATATATTACCACTGAGAACAAACAAATAAAAAAAATAGTTCAGGTTGCGAAGTTTAAGGCTGGTGAATACTGTATTGAGAGAATGTTGCTTCAGCTGCCAGATGAGCTTCTGAGACAAAAAAAAAACCCCTCAAACACCACAACTGAAACCAGAAAATACATGCCAAAATTTTACCAATTGGCAATACATGCCAAATAGAACAAGAGGGCCATCCACGACACAACTGGCTTAAAAAAAAAAAAAAAAAAAAAAAAATCTCTTAAAAGATAGGAAGACTAAATGACAATCATTACAATTGGTTATTACATAAATAACCTCTTATTCTGGGTCTTTAATTCTTTTTTAAAAGGTACCTAATATGACCTCCTCTTTAAACAAAACTGCTCAACAGTTACTTGATATATGACAACATCATTGTCTTAGGTTTATGAAGGAAGACTCTGCTATATGTCATACTATATTAAATATTTTACTAAAATCAAAGTTATTACAACTGTAATAAATATAGTTTTAAAAAACATTTAATGTACAATTCTATTTACATGCAAGTCCATTAAAGGAACAACCTCCAGAAGAAAATGGTCTTGAAACAGGCCTATTTAAAACACAGAAGATCCACTACTTTATTGGAGGTGATGACGATGTGGTTTAGAAGGGCAAGTAACAGATTTTTATTAACTGACTGCAACTGTGTTATCGGCTACTGGAAATACTGAAAGAATTCCATGAGTCTGTATTGCCTCCCCACCTATGTCTTCGCTGCAGAGGTGGCCTTTGAGTATTTTTGTGCGGAGGTACCACTGAATTCATGACAATAGGTATGGATATTTGATATTCATATCGTTCCAACATCTGAGCAATCTTCTCACGAGTGACCCCATGTTTATTCCTCCTACAAAAATAAAAATTTAAATAAATTGTCTGGTGTGTTTGTATGTTTACAGTATTTAAGAAAAAACTTAATTTCACAATTTTCTTCTTGCTTTTCATATTTGAAATTCCACTTTTATTACACTGTATCCTCATTCTCTCAGTATACAACTTGTGTTAAGGTTATTTTAACAGTTCACCACCGTATATATTAAATAACAGAAAACAATAGTCATTCTTTTTCATACAGAAATGTGATGTTATTCACCATGACTCTGTACCTAAACAACCCTAGAAGGACTTTGCTTTCTATTTATTCATCAAATTTTACACTGTACACTAGCTAACGAGTAGAGGGATAAATAATATGATGACTACTACTTATGAAAGCAATGTTCAAACTAGCATTAAAAAAATGAAACTACGTGGTTTCAAGTCTTAACTTTTTTATTTTCTTTCCTCATCATATACATCTCTATACAAAATAAGAAGCAATTTCAGTTTGAACCAGAACAGCATGCTAGTAGGTAAGGGTATCATGAGCTCTTACTGTTACGTGCTGTAAATTTAGAGATATACTGAAACACATATAAGGGAAGAGAGGCCAAAAGTGTTGTGCTATTCTTGCAGTGTTTAGTGAACAGCTACTTTCAGTGAGAACTTGGCCTATTAAGAACCTGAGATATTAGACATTACATTAGACCATATCTATCACATAGGATGTTAAAATCCATGTTAGCAGAAAATTTCACTGTCTGCCAAAAAGAAAACTGCAAGGCTCATGCACAAACTGAATGTCAGAGAATCACCAGCACTGTAACAGAACTGAATCCAAAAGAACATATATAAAACCAAAACAAAGTGTTTTGATTCTGTAGACGAGCATTTATCATAACCTGATATATTCTTATCACGAAGAAGCCTTGTCCAAGCAGAATTATTTCCAAGTCACACCAACAGGAAATATCTGTCACTATTAAATGCTTCTTCACTAGAAGAATCTCACATACCAATATACTGGCAAAGTAATCCTGCATAGACGGGACTCTTAGAATCAGCACAAGTTTACTGAAGTCAATACCAAATTGCAGTTTTAAGATCATACTGAAGGAAAAAGTATCATGTTAAACATGTTTGCATTTCACTTCTGTGAAGTGACACAGCAGGCAACTTTTTAAAAATTAAAACAACATCCGTCCCAACATGCCGACTATACACAGCATACCTGTCACTCCCCAAAACCTTGAATCAAACGTATGTTGGGTTTTTTTTTAAAAGTTCTAGTTCCCAACTGACCAGCTACTCAGAAAGCATACAAACATGACAGAGGGTAATTTTTTAATCAGTGTTGGACGAAACAAATTAAAAAAAAAATTCTCTCTTCTACCCGTGATTTTGCCACTTGTTTGTTCTCTCACCTGCAGTTTTCAAGACTTCCTAAAAATGGTATTGAAGTACAAAATCCTGTATATAAAGGTCTAAATGCTATGCAAGAAGCCTTGAGCACTCCTGCAAGACATACGTCTGTGGAGTGAAGAGGTTTTCACAAAAGTTATGTGCACAAAACTAAACTGAAAGCAAAATCACTGATGAGTGACCCCAAAGATAATTTGTACCTCACTGGCACACTGGGAAGAAAGACACTGACATCTATTCCCCACCAAAATGTCTGTCATGTTCTCGACTTCAAGAATTCACCCAGTGTTGACCCAGAGAACCTTCTCAAACGTACTGAGCAGAAACAACCCTATGAAAACAGTGTCTTGAAATCCACCTGGCTTCTAGAATACCCACATCTTATATCACTTGATAAAAGTTACTAACAATCTAGACAGCATCACTAAAAACAAATAAATGAGGAGCATGTATCCAAAATACAAGAAAAGTCTTTTGCTAATTAAAGTAGGAGGTAGGGTATTTTTTATCCCAGCTACCAGAAACAAAGAGTCTTAAGTGACCCTGTTTACAAGGGATTTAGAATGTATGTACTCCAGACAACTAAACAGAACTACCCAAATTTATTATTAGCATAGTATTTGCCCAGGTACTGCACAAAATGTTGAGCTCAAAATTCATAAGGGCAATCCCAAAACTACAATAACATCTCTATCATTATTTTTTTCCCAAACAGACAAATATGCGGGGGGGGGGAACCCACACAAAACAACTGAAAGATTGAGCCCTCCTCCAAAGCAATTGAAAGACAAAATGAAACCTCACATCATCACCTTTCCTAAACTCTCAAAAAAATAAAGTTTCCAGACAATAGGCCTCTATTCAAACATTGAAAGCAAGTGGAGCTGCTAGAACACTTCTAGGAAGCTCCTACGAACTGGTAGCAGCACTTCATAGTTCAAGCGTTTTGCTTTGGTTTTGGGAAAGACAGAAATTTCACTCCTACAATTAATGACTGGACAACAAAATTCAACGGTAACAACACTTCACATTTGTGTGTCCTGTTACCTGTGAGGACCATGTGAAAATATGAACTCTGCTGGAAAATGAGTCTGTCTCAAGTAATGGAAATTTCACATGGATCATCTTAGAAACATCTGATTACTAAGACAGCTTCCTAATCTGGCTGTGATGCATCCCAAACTAGGAAAACTTATTAAAATTCATAGATGGAGACTTCATCTCCAGAAACAAGTTAGTGGTAGCTTAGAAGCAAAAGGTGAAAACTTTAAAAAAAAATTATAAACACGATAAAGTCCAAGTCAGTAATGTTAAGTATTATACACACATACTTCATGCACTGTAGGGGCTACTTTTCAAAGCTGAAACAATTATAAGCCAAGTGAGTTGGAAGCATATAAAATGACAATCAGTGAGAGAAGTCTTCGTGATCAACCATGAAAATACTACATTTCAAACAATGAAATATCCCTAAGTTGGTCTGGTACTTCACAGATTCCTAAAGCAGATACATCTGAGACAAGAGAGATGTTAAACAGGAATAATAAGCAGCTTCCCAGGCACTGTCACAACCCAGAAGTCCAACAACCTATGTCCAACAGTACTCTAAGGCAGATCCTCTGAAGACTGGGGACAGTTTCACAAAATCTTGCAACAGAATAATCTAAAATATGAACTTTCTTTGTAACCACTGCTGATTAGTAACGGACTACTGCTCTTTGACACCGAGACATCTATAAAAGCAGACAAAACAAAGCACTTATATTGATGCACTCCTTGCAAAATGCATAATTTCTTTTTGTCTTCTACCTATTTATTGCCTTCAGCATTTTGTAGTATCAAATTTGTCAGAATAATTGTTCACTATAAGAGCAGCGATTCTTACAGAGGTCAATCATTTTTTGACTCATGTCTAAAAATTTTAGTATCAACCTTTTGGGCCGACAAGACAAGACCTCTATTTGTCCATTTGTTTATCCATAACACTTCCATCTAAAGGTATATCTCAAAATGCCAATTTAAATAATGTACTACATAAATATTTATGTTTGCATATTTATGTCTATCCATCTCGATATACAAGTACAATGATTTTTGTAATATAAACCTTACTTCTCTAATTCTTCAGGCTCAAACTTCCACCAAGTATCTGGCTCATGGAACTCCACTCTGTATCCCTTTTCTAGAGCCTGCAGCAAGCAAAAAAAGCAATATGTGTATCATTATTACATAAAATGTATAAAATCTACAAAACATAGACCAGCATAATAAACAGATGTAGTTAACTTAGTAATTCTGCTGAATTTCACTCACCCCCAACCTGTCTTAGCTTTCATTCCAGGCTAAGCAGATTAGATCAAGTCAATCTTTAAATTGGTCTGAACTATTGTCATACCAATTACTGATAGTATTAATAGGCAATCTCTCTTTAGAAACTTCAGAAAGAAAAACATTTCTGGACAAAATAGACCAACTTATCACATGTGAAGGTAAGTCTGAAGTTGTAACAGATGATACAATCACACACCAAAACCTACCACTTCCACATATGGCTTCATTTCCCAGGCTTGAGTATTAGTGTTGTCTATTATAACTGGAGATTTTCCCTGCTCCATTGCTTGCTTTGCTGCAATGAAAAATAGTGCAAGTTAATAAACAACTATGTAACTCAAATAAAATGGTAAATGTAAATAAACTGTTCCAGCTGGTTTTTGCACTAATCTAGTCTGACTGAAACACACTGTTCTAACAAAAGGAATAAAAGCACTGAAAGGTAGAGACAGAAATGGAAAGAAGCAGAAGCAAGAAGGTAAGAAAAATTAAGCGAAGGGCATAAAAAAATAGGTGGTGGTGACTTGATGCAAAGAGGCAAATGGAAAGCAAAGCAACACAACTGCTGCTCAAAGTCTATGGCCTGCTGGGCATAGAAATCCCAACATGAAACCATATCCCGGTTCCAGCTTCACCAGCCCTGCCAGATTAACACATGGTGAATTCATAACTGAGACCTGTGGTTAGGTAATGCAGCTCTTCAATGAAATGCTAAGAAATAGGTGATCGTCACAGAAAGGCATCACATATCTGAAACATTTCTAAGATCCATTAAAAAAAATATTACAACCATGCTGTCTCTGCTTGAATAATGTTTGAACTCACTGGCCAATTTCAACCAAATATAAGTGGGCAGAATCTTCAGGAATGATAAGCTGCTTCCAAGTTCTACAAAACAGCAACTGGTAAGAAGGCACATCCAAATTAGCATCTTTATTGACGGAAAGACAGACAGAGCACAGCCATGACGCAATTTGTTTGGCAGGATCCTCAATGCAGTAGTATGCTTTTAACTCTGGACCAGCAAGAGTACACTGCTTCTTACCCAGGAGAAGCATCCTAGAAATTACTGTGCAGAACTGAGATTGGCTGGAGGACTTTAGGGGACAAACATGCAAATCCCTTGGCTACCTGAGATTCGCCAGCTCCACAGAAAACATTTTATTGTTACCCTGATGCCTAAAGTGGTATCTTTTCATAAGCCCAAGACTGCTTTAGTCTTGATAAATCAATTAAGCATCTATCTCAAGCCTAAATAAAGCCTAACTTTGATCCTGAGATCAGGCATTCTTATAAATCCCTTAAAAGTTAGTCCAGAAAGCATTCTCAGAGGACTCCTAACTCCCACTACTAGGACTTGTGCCTGAAAACCACAACATTGTACAACCACTTTTTTTGAGCACCTCTAGAAAGCACGATTATGACATTCAGCTTCTACATAATGCTACACAGGAGACTTACCCAAGGAAGTGAACAACTCAAGTTCTATATCCTGATCAGCTGGATATCCACCTCCATTTTATACAAACTGGGACAGCAGTTCAGCCGTTCTTACCAGAAGTTCAGAAGAACTCCTGCAGAGGAGAGTACCTAGAAAGGGTACTTGAGTATCCCACTTTTGGGACAAATAGGCTACCTTAATTTTCATTGTTTTAACTTTCTTCACCTTTTTGTTTTGAAAGCAAGACCTCTGCCATTCTTTGCAGTGACGGACACAACTTCCAAGTCTTTAGAAAAGAACTACTTTAGCATCAATCAGTAAATAAGGTTCTTTTTGCAGCCTGAAACCAAGCCAGAAGGAGAAATAGATTTCCAACTTATGACTGAGTATCAGATTCATGAAGAAGATTCCTCAACTCCTCCTACAACTACTCTAAAGCATCTTACAATTGAAAACGAGGCTTTTATAAAAATCTATTCCTCAGCTTCTTTGTGCCTCAGTTAATCAGTAACAGTAATTCCTTATCTATTTTACAGAAGCATTGTGAAGATTTATTCCATTAAAAAAAAAAAAAAAACAAAACCAGTTGCTCTGATGCTACACATTCAAGCCAAGAACAAAAAAAAAAGTTTTTCAGTTAGTTCTAAGCACTACTAGCAACGTGAACCACAAACACATCAAGAATTTCACATTTCAAAATTCTTGCAGGAAAAGAGAAAGGATTCAGTCCTTTTAGAAGACACACAAAGGGTTAAAAAGAAAAGCATTTTGGTTGCAAAGCAAAACTCTGAACCTCAGGAGATACCAGAATTAAGGCTGGGTGTGTAGCAACTATAGCGCATATGTATTACTATACTGCCCTTAAATATGTGTTCATACTCTGTTTTCTCCAATATACTCCTACCACTTTCAGCACATGTGATGGAATTGTTCTGTAGCTGAATCAGGGGTATGTATCAGATCATCAGCATGACCCAAGCACTCTTTCTTCTTTTTTTTTTTTTTAAGTAATTGTGAGATAAATAATGAGTAAGTCAGGATGACTGCAAAGGGAGAAGGATCATCTTTTGGTGCATGTTCTTGAACATCATCCCACCTCTTTCCAAGTGGCCACTCCTTGGCACCATCTTCATTTTTTGGCTGCTCAATTTCAAAAGTTACAGATATCACGTACAGAAGTGACATGAACTCACCTGAATATGAAGACAATGAAAATTTATTCTGAATATACGAAGTTAAATTGCTACTACACAACCTGAAGAAAATACCAAAACTACTAAGTTTGGCATCCGAAACAGGAAGATGATCTTAGCAACTGTGCCTTAGGTTGTCAATGAAAAATTTAGAATACCACTAGTGCTCACAAGAAAGTTAAGATGATGAACTAGATGAAAGAACTGAAATATCTGAAGCTTAAAACACAAAAATAACACTCATACAAAAAAGTTTCACAGAGAATGAATAATGTTCCATTAAACAAAGTCAAAGTAGTATGCATTAAATGAAAAGTGAGAGCCACAATGAGTGCAAGGATCAAAAAGCCCAGATCTGTGGAATACCTGCCCATTTAGTGAACACTGCTCAATCTGTACACTGAATGAAGCAGGGATCTGAGTGAAGCAAAACCCTAAGTTACTGGAGAGAACTAGGGGTTTATCTTGATGGAAATCAATCCACGCAATGGGAAGAAATTAAATGAACAGGCTGAGAAGTAACTTTGCAGGTGGAAGGAGGAAAAAAGCAAAGATAAAATATGTTTCAACAGAGCACTAAGAATCAATGGAATAAGCTATAAAAAGAAAAAAAGTATTGCCCTGGCTTCATTAACCTGGCACAAATGATCTTTCTGAAACCCGAATCTATAAAAGAAAACTGGGAAGCTGCCAGAAAAAGGGAAAAATCCTGAAACATGCATTTCAGAAAAGACTCATAAAGGTAGCAAGAGGACAGCCAATTTTGTAATGAAGATAATAAAACCATCATTAATTTGCAAAAGCTTGTGAAGAAAGATTATATTATAGCTACAACCCACTTACATATTCTACCATTTTGTTTTAACTGTGGATCTAAGTGCTAAGTGTGCTGATATAATCTCTGAGATAAAGTTTTGTTTAAAAGTAAATAAGGTATTAATTAATTGTCACTACCAAAACCATAACCAAACAAAAACAGAGTTTAAGAAGCAGACAAATCCCATCTTGACCTGTCAAGTCAAAAATGTTAAAAACATACCAAAGGCAGAGAAACGTTCCAGTAGTACTGGCATGATTAATAAAATTGGAGACATTTAGCAAAGCCACAAAAGTGAATTCAGAGGGCCTAAAACCCTGTAAGAGTGACACTGATTTCACAATTAAAATAAAGAGCAAGAATCTGTCTGCTACCCTTCCTACCCCAGGTACCTACTTCCTTACCAATTACACCCAACCTTCGGACACTGTTAGATATTAAGAAAGATGACTCAATTAAAGCTGTTAATCTAGACAAGTGAACTAAAATCTTCCTCAGAAAAAAACCTGTTCTATAAATTTTGGATGAACCTCAGATCAGAAAAGACACTGGAAAAAAACCAGGATACTCTGATATTGCCCACTTTAAAAAGGTTCAATTCTGCCATCAAGATACTAGTATCAAACGTAACAAATCAGCAGGTCTTAGCACAAAGAAGAGAGATTTTCTATTTTTAGCTTTGAACCCTCTACAAGTTCAAAATTTAATGTATATATACACATTAATTAAAACATAAAGAATACTTTAAATATACACTTCTATATACACTATACTAAAAATATATATATACACTTTTTCATAGAGACGATTAACGCACACGCACGTTACGCGATACTTCTATTTTCCAAGCATATGCAAAATTTAATAGGATTCCTCTTATGCATTCAAACCTCTCTTCTGGTTCCAGTCATGGGCATCACCAAGGTGAGCAGCGTTGTATGTATATCCATCTTGTTGACGAAAATAATCATCGGTGCTGAATATAATGCCATCACGACTTTGACCAAGCAGAATACTGTTAAGCAAAGGAAAAGGCAAAAATATTTTAACTTTTATTTTTCAGATAGGAAAAAACCAAAAAGACACAGAAAAAAGAACATAGCTAAAATAAATTTAACTGTGCCCTATTTCTGAACTTCTTGCAAACTTCAAACAGGTTTATAAGAGTACACTCATACGTATTACCAATAATTCTAATCCAAATTAAAGCAATATATTTTCCCCTCTCTCTACTATTTCTGTATTTCTTCTGTTATTTCTTCTCCTCCATCCCCAAGAGACGTTTGTACCCATCTAATTTATAGTTATATTGCAGTAAGTTCTAAGTGCCTCATAAAAATTTAATACATTTACTAACATTTTCCATATAAATTCTCATCGGAATTATCTCTAGAAACCAATCTGATCATGAGGAATCTGGATGCAGCTCAGAACTGAACTGGATGTTTAAACCCTCAGCACCTTAAACTCTCAGCATGCCCTCTTCTGACCTTTGCCCATGCTGCCTGCACATACAATGTGGGTTGAACAGGAACAGTAAAACAAACTACAAATGTTTACGGCAACTTCCCTATTTTCAGGAAAAAGTAAAAGATCACAGTACACTTTCAAGATTGTCCTACCAAATGAAAGCCAGGATTACAGAAGAGTGCCCATATTCCTTCAGATCCTATACTCTTCTATTCCAGTTCTATGTCTTCTCCCCCAAACTGGTGACACAGTCTTACTTGCCTCTATTTTCTCATCAACTCTGCCACTCACTGGATTTACAAGCCACTGGAATTCACCATCCAGAAGAACGCAATCTTGTTCTCTTCTTTTTTTTTTTTTTTTTTTGTTTCTAGGTTACTTTTCTGAAGCTTTAGCAGTTGACTATTTAAGAAAAGGCCCCAAAAGATCCACTATCAATGGAGCCCTACCCTGGCTGAGCTGCAGGAAGCTGCTACATGGGCTACCACGTCTTGTAGAACTGTAGTTTCAGTCTAACAGATGACAAGAAATTTAAGATAGGATTTCTTCGTATCTCAGTTTCTATCAGGGAATGATATTGTTTTTCCCCACCATTCATACTTTAGTGCTAATAGGGTGATAGGAAAGCCATGCATTTTACTATCCCTGCATGTATTACTTCACACCAGGAGAGAAACAATCACTTCTCAAATCACTTAAACCACTTGATTTAGAGTGTTTTAGCTTAGTGTCCTAAGGCAATGCCATTCCATGGTGACTTCTGGACATACAGTCCAATTTCAACAAAATCTGACTGAATATTCTCTCAAAAACACTTTTTTATGGAGGGAAAACAAACAGGCAAACCAAACCAAACCAAATTTGTAAACAAATGGATAAAATGCAGAGATTCAAATTAGAATCCATAAAGATAAAAAAAAAAGAAAAATATTCCAATGCAAATTTCACGTTTACCCACTCTTCCAGGCCTGCCATTTCCAAGCAACATAGATATTTTACTAAAAGTTTACTTCATTTGTAGGTCAGAATAAGTTGCATTACATTCTGCTTCTCGCATAGCTAACGTTAAAGATTACAGGAGAAATTTAAGTGTATTTTAGCAAACAATAAAAGACACTGGGGGGGAGCCAATGAGGGCAAAAAGAGGAACTCAGAGGGATACAGTTGCAACATTCACTGTTAACTTGTTTATTTTTACTCTATATTGTAATATTTTATATTACTTATATGTTTATTAATATGGGTGATATAGGAATACTATAAAAACCCATTAAGCTTTTCTAGAATTCTGTACTTGCATTGTCACAAAACACCACAGCCAAACCTTCTAGATACATCACAGAGCTGGCTTTTGGATTTAACTAAAACTCATCCTAAATGTTGCAAATAAATACCTGCGAGTCAGAGAAACTGATTATAGCGAAGTTACAGGTAATAATTAACTGCTGATTGATCAAGAACATCAGAATCTCCATCAAATCAAATTCATACTAATCCACCCCAACGAGCAATCCCCATTCTGACAAATGTAAACTTTCTTTTCAGAAAGCCCTTGGAAATAAGGATTTAAAGGAAAACCTTTTAAAACTGAGACAACAGCACAATTCTGTTCAAAGTCTGATCTACAGAATAAGTGTGATTACAAAACCTTCTTGACTATTTTCGTTTTCTATAGTATATTCAAATCTGAAAATAGAAAAAAGCCAGTTAGTGTCACAAAGCATTTATAGCCATTGCAGCACCCGAATATCACCGTCCTACAGAAATTTAGGCAACTATTCCCGCTCAGAAACAGGCAACATACCCAAAGGCTACAAAAGCCAAACTGCACTAGCAGTAGGTGGGATTGCACTACTGCTGAGGTGGCAGGAACAGAAAAGAACTGGCCAAATCCCAAATAATGTAGGGGTACAAATGTATGTTAGTTCTAAGTCACCAAGCTTTCCTATATATATCTGCAGTAAGAGCTACTTAAGTTTAATTCCTACACAAGGAATTTGCTATGTTTTGCCACCTACAACAGACCAGTAACGGATCACAGTTTAATGACTGAGACATAATTACATATTAACTTACATTCCTACACATTTATTGTCCCACAACAACGTTGCTGGTTAATTTTGCTTTTAAAATACAGAGAGCTGTAACAACAAAATTCAGATTAGCGAGGACCAGAAGAAACTACTCATGAGACAACTGTCAAGTAACGTGATCAAAGCTGCATACAAGCTGTTTTTTCCTTCCTGGTCTTTCTCCCTTTTCCAGAGAATTAAGGTTACCTCAGGACAAAACAGCAATGCTATTTCCAAAAGCAGGGCATGACACACCAAAAGTAAAGCCACTTTTTTTGGACGTTGTTCAATAATTATTTTTGTTAGAGCCTACGTGTTTTAATAGCATCTGTATTACACTGGCTTAGGAAAGGATTTGAAGCCTCCTTTTGTTCTAAGTAGATGAAATGGCACCAGTAAATCACAAACCACACACAGAGCACTTTTTCAGATCTACTCCTCTCTTGTATAAAATATTTAACAGGAATTCATAGTCATTAAGTTACTTGGCCATGACTCCACACATGGCCCAATTCTCTTATTTACAGTATGTTTGCTACATTTGCCAATTAATAACACTAGAAAAACTGGATGCATCTTCCACACTCACCTTTTCTGTGCTGAACATTTATACTCACATCTTAAAGAGTAAGGACCGTCTGCCTCAATAAAAGGGATAGCAAACAGTAACTGGGATTCTTCTACTAGCTGAGCAGACACACAGACAGCCCTGCAGCTCCTAGGAGCCTGACCATCAGGTGCCTGTAGGAATGTTTATGAACTGGTGAATCAACACTAATGGGACCAATGGGGCATTCATTTTTATTTTGATTTCTAGGAATGGACACTGTTTGGTCCATATTCTGGAGAACAATTCACTTACTCAAATTCTTCTGTTATATCTTCCAAACATCATTAGTAGCAATAAAGAAACACAGTGACAAGGGTTCGGGAAACTTGCAAACTCATCAACAATGTTCATTCTTGAAATATTTTGTTACTATTCCTTGAAGTTCAGAACACACCATAATTTATTTATGAACCTATATAACTGGTGTAATAGATTTAATATCACAAACTATGTTTCCAAGAATAATCCTAAAACTATATAATCTGGGAAGGCAAAGTGACTATCAAAGAGACCAGAGTTAACAGAACCCTTACTCTGTACTCAACGTACAAGCTATCACAAAGTAACGAGTTTATGTACCGAAACTTCAGTTATTACAGCAATGGTCATAGCCCGTTTCTAAATTGTGAAATTAAGATCACAAAACATTTTAAAAGCCTGACAATACATACTAAGAATTCTGAAAGTAGTAAAACTTGTAAAATTTAAAACACAAACATACTTGTCAATGTCATATGGAACAATTCACATACTTCTAACATGTATTTGGAAATAAAATTTATTCCAGGCTCATGAACTATGAAGCAGAAACAACAAAGAGCACATCTATGCAAAGAAAGCAACACTACTATCCAAACCCATCTAAAGAGATGGTATTCCACTTTTGAGACACAGAGAAAGAAAAAAATTAAGATAAATCCATTTCTAATAAGAGAGTCAAATTACAGATGAGTCAGCATCAATCAGTGCATGTGCCTGAACCGAGTAGCAGTATTACCCAACTGCTGTAATCCATTTTTTTCATCCTGAACCCTGCAATTGAACATCCACCTTTGAACACAGTGGGACAGTGAAATTAGAGCAGATATGAAAATTAAAGCAGCTCATCTACTTCTCCCTGACATGCTATCTGATCTAATAGAAGATACTAGCTTGACATACAAAACTCATCTCGAAATCAAAACGCTCATTTTAACTAGTCAGCAAACCAATACACATTCATTCCAGTGCACGTACACGTACACACACAAATCCTGCCTTAATTTTCCTTCAAAACTAAAGCGGTCTCCCAATCTGCATCCTAGTTAGCCTACTTTGATAGCTGACTTTATAATAAAAAGATCTCTTACAATCGTCTATTTAAAATAGCGAACATATCACAGATGAGGAAAAAACCCCCAGACAATAACTAAATATAATTTTTAAAACTGCAGTTGCTAAGCTATGTAAATGCTACTTTAAAAGCATTGCTTGTAACACTGTTTAAAGAAACACATAATTAGAAACAACAGCACACAATTGCTTCTACATCCAGGTACAAATACTAACTCTAACTCTTCCATTCAGAAGATCTAGCTCTCAGGAAGAACGGCCACAGATAAAGATGACTGTCTTTATATATTCCTGACAATGGATTTAATTCAAAATGTACTTCTTAAGTGACACCAATATTTGTTCTTTCAATCTCATTAAACTCCTTTTTATTCAAATTCATGTTCAGATATTTATGGAACAATGGAAAATTGCAATTGCTGCCAAGTTCAGTAGCAAAATATCCTAAAAATCCAAGTCTGTTTTCTTGTAACTTTTTCCAGCATTATAAGATCACATCGTCATCTGCTTCTAATTGTAGCAGACTTTTGTTACTTGGGCTAAAGATACCATTGCTGGGTATTCTGCCTGGCCAAATTGGTTTAGAAAATTTCTAACTAAATGGTCAATCACTTCCAAAACTAAGGAAGAAATATAGCGGTTTTATCATGTTTTGTTATTCTAAGCTTTTCTCTGAGAAACTTTGATTGAGGAAGTGAAATATGGCAAAGTACCTATGTTTGGTTTTCCTGCAAAAATTTTTTACAAACCTGCCCAAGCTGTAGGACTTTAAAATGTCACGTGCACAGAAAATAACAGTAAAAAGTACTCTTTTTTGTACAAAGTAGAGCAGAAAATGCAAAGATCCTCACCGCAGTAAACCCCTTCCTGAACAGAGCATTCTGGCAGTAGCAGAAAGCTGATTCAGTACCAACACTGCATCATAAGAACACACTTCGCCCAACACCATCGTAAGAACGGCAAGAGAAGGAACAAAATTGGCCTAAAAGACGAAGGACATAGGAAGCATAGTGGTGGTATAAACACTGGAACAAGCAACTTGGTACCGACAGCAGAGCTGGGAAACAGTGACAAGGCAAAGAGTGAAGCGCAAGAAATTGCTACAATAAAGGCTGGAATGAGATAAAGCCACCAGCTGAAACATGGACAGAATGAACCCAGGAAGAAAGTGAGTGGAGAAGAAAGAACTGAGAAATCAGCTTAGAGTTTAGGAGCAGATGTAGGGCTAGTAAGCACAGACCAAAAGCTTGGTCAGGAACAGGAAAACAAAACAGGAACAGGATAAAGAGATAGGAACTCTAATGAGCCTCAGGAGGCTGGCGTTGTCTAGGTCAAGTGAACGCAGAAAATAAATTGAGAAGATGAGGGGAGCTCCTCAATGACCAGGAAACCACTAATGCTATGCTCATATTTAGGGCAAGTAAAGACAAGGACCCAAGGAACTAAACGCTGCTCAGCCTCACCTAACCTCAGCTCTTGAAAGACAATGAGTGCATCCTCTCGGAATCTATTTCCAAACATGTAAAGGAAACGAAGCTAATCAGGAAGGGTCAACGCGGGGTTTGCAACAGATAAATCATTCTTCACTGACCAGAATGCACTCTGATGAAGCAACTGCATTTGCGGATGAGGACAGTGATGAATGTAGCATACTTGAAATCATCAAAGCTTCCAACATCATCTCCCAGTCAGTAACAAGCAAGAGAACAGCAAGGGATAACAGCAGGACTAGTTTTTTCAGTATCTTCATCATTAACCTGGACGATAAGAACTTGCAGATGACACCAAACTAGTAGCAATGCCCGACATACTGAACAGTAGGGCTTCTATCCAGAAGGCCATTCAGAAACTTGAGCACTGGGCTAAGCAAAACAGCATGAAGCTCAACAAGGAAAAGAGCAAAGTTCTACAACTTTGAAAAATAAACCTAAGCATCAGTACAGGAGGGAACGCAACTGGTTGAGTGGCCCTGCTGAAAAGGATCGGAGGATCACAGTGGACATCAAACTGGAGATGAGTGAATGGTGTGCTCTCATCAAAAGAAGAGCAAACGACATGCTGGGCTTTATTAGAGAAAACGTGGCCAGTAGATCAATGGAAGGTATCATTGACAATCTACCTGGCTCTTGTGCAGTCAGTTCTGAAATACTGTGTCCAGTTTGGGGCTTCCCAGTTAAAAAGATATGCTGAAAATCATGAAAGGGCTGAACAGATGGCTACCAAGGGCACGTGACCTACAAGGAGAGGTTAATAGCAGTAGGGCTTGTTCAGTCTGGCAATGAAGACAGAAAAATGCCATCCAATATCAGCCTATTACAGTGAAGAAGCCTATACCCTTCCCTGAAGGGAAGCTGCAAAGATGATGAGCCAGATTCTCCCAGGTAACAGCACACATTATAACACAGGAGAACAAACTATGCCTTGGGAGCTTCAGTTTGGACATTAGGAAGAACTTCCTTACTAAGAGGGTAGTACTGCACCAGAAAAGTTTGGAGCGACTGTGGAATCTCTGTACTTGTAGGTTTTTCAAGATCAGCCTACAAAAAGACACAGCTGATCTGATCCAACAATGGTGACAGACCTGCTCCAAACAGAACAATGGAGTAGCTGACCTGCACAAGCCTCTTCCAAAAAACATGCCTGTGGTTACAAACAGTTGGGATTGAAGAGTCAAAACAGAACACAGACCTCAGTGGAAGATTCAGGACAGGCAAGGGTCAAGTTTGGAAGCAGGAAGAAAAGTGCCTGTATTTACAAACCTTTTGCACAAATACAGACAGGAATTCAAGATTCCTGGATCCCACTACTGCTCTGCTGTCATTTCATACTCGGAAAACCCACCTGCAAGATGCATCTCATACCCTTCTAGTGCTGATCCACACAGATGATGTCAAATTTCTGCTTTTCCTTCATAGTCATTTTGCTAGCACAAGTGTACAGGTTTGTCTGCAGGTGCTAACAATGCCAAGCCTGCAAAGATACCTGTGGGTACTAATATGACATCAGAGGACTGTATTTGCTGTCCTACTCTACACTGCAGAATTCTACAATGTTCCACAGAAAAACACCTTCAACTTTATTAAGACTAAGAATTAATTAATAATACATATGTTTTCTCCATCGGCAGCCATTAATTCCGGGATTTTTCTTGCCCCCCCAGGTACCTAAGACCCTGAGATACGATTTGATGGGAATTAACAATTGCAACCAAGTGTTGAACATATGAAACTGCATATAACTGAATACACAGAAAAACAAGTCCCACACAGTTCAAACTGTGCACCCAAACTCGGTGACTATTTTTGACCTTGATCTCATTGTGCCCACTTTCCCCATCTGTTAAATAAAACTTGTAATTTATCTCACTAGTAAGAAATCAAAAAAAGCTGAATCTGTGTTCATAAAAACCTGAAGATACTTAGAATCTTTCAGATAACATGAATAATATAATTGGAGAAAGATTCAGAGACAGTTCAGCACAGCAAACATGGAAAACAAAATATCTGATATCTTCACATCAAGTATTATCCAATTCCTGCACTGAATGAGGCAGCATTTTTTCCACAGCGTTATTTTTTTTTAAAGTTTTCTATGTTGCTTTCATATATTAAAGGAATTATTGCAATAATATCCACACAGGCACAGGCAGCTTCAAAAATGCAGGTTTGCAAAATAGAGCAATCAGTAATTAGAAAATATTATAGTTAAAATTACATAAACATGTAAGTTACAAATTTCTAATAGGTATTTTCTATGATATGAAGATCATGATCTTCCAAATATCAGGAAAAAACCCCACAAACAGCAAGGTTACTCCTTTATAAAAAAACAAGGAAGAACATGATCACATATTTATTTCATAGACCCTCAGCATACCACAGAAGATGACCACAGCAGACATCTCATTTGTGATCTACAGTTTCTGGATGAAGCTCAAGCAGTAAGTACTGATACAGTAACTTTCTTTTATGCAAGAGAAACCTACTTTCACTTAATACAGAGTGTCTGTGCTGTGTGTCAACTTACTGCTTTTTAAACCAGGCCAAAAAAAAAAAAAAAAAAAAAAAAGTGAAAATCCAAGTTGGAAGTGGTACCTGCTTTTAACCCTGTCAGAATTCAATAAGTATATTTTTAAGGGAAAATAATACTTTTCTTGTGTGTTGTTCACAAATAAACAGAGAAGTTAACAGACCACAGTATGAAAAAAAGGGAATGAGATTATGCTCAGTTTCATCAGCACACTGAAAACAAGTTAAGTATTTTCTGAGCAGCAAAATCCTTCTAATGGTCTTCAAAGATTTTTGCATGGGCATAAAAAAGTACTCCTGGTAATTTGACTTCAGTCAAGTCAATGCTGTTAGATCTGATGGAAGATTTTTTTAAAAGAAGGAATATAAGAATTAAAAAAAAAAAAGTGTTAGACCATGAAAGAGTCAGACCATCACACACTAGCACACCTCAAAGTTTCAGCATAAAAGATTATGCAATTTAGTGGATACAGACCATTTTAAATTTAACACAAAACAACTGTTCATCAACATTCTAAAGGAGACAACAAACCCAAGGAAATCTTTTTAATATTTACTGTCATTCGTCCTCATTAAGCAAAAACAACTGCAATTTAATAGCCTAATTTACAAATATCAAAGTTTGCCAAATGCTTAAGATTTTTTTTTTAATTCTTATAAAAATTGATTTGAATAAGCTTGAAATTCAAAATTCAAATTTGATTTCAGTAAGCTTCCTAAGTCTTTACTTACCGAGAAAGTGTTGACTTCCCTGAACCAGGTAGGCCTCTTAAGAGTAGAAGCAATTTCTGTGAACAACCAAATCTTTCTTCAGGTAACTGCAAGGAACAAAAGCCGTGCATTCCTTCTGTATTGTCAGCTTTCAGATCCTTCCAACACTTTTCTCCGGTTTCACAGAAACCATTATTTTGGAGTCCATTCTGGTCATTATTTTGGAGTCCCCTCTGGTCATTATTTCCATTTCTGAAGACCTGAGTAGTATGGATATCAATATGACCAGCATAGTTGGTACTTTGATCAAGCGATAGACCATGACTGTTAATATCAGTATTTCCATGGTAACCATGATAATTTTTGTAAGAAAGTTCACCATTCTGAGAAGGAAGAGGATTTGTTTTTTGTGGTGGGAAATTAAGTCCCTGAAAATGCGACTGATGACTGAATGTAGGAGGAAGAGGTCCCTGAGGTACTGTGAAAGACTCTGTTGACTGCCAAGCAGGTCTGAATTCAGGCACTGAGTAGTTCCAATATTTAGAATCTACTTGTCCATTAAAGGTATTTTCAGTTCTCCAGCCACTCGATTCTATGACAAACTGCTGCTCATCGCTCGTCTTCCGACTGTTCTGTTCCCCCAAAATACACTGTCCATTCTTGTAAAATGGTTGTGGGCTGCCCAACAATACACACTGATAATCCTCTTGTGAGGTTTGACTATAGTTATATGGAGAGTATTGTTCCTGAGAAGTTTCAGTGGTTTTTTCCTGAAAATTAGTATCTAAACTTTCACTTTCCAGCTGGTGAATTTCTTTATAGAACTGGTCCAGTTCATCATCTATTCCTGGTACAGCAGAAGTAGTCGTCTGCATCTTCTTTACCTCCTTTCTTTTAGCTCTGTTTTCATGCAACTCACTCTGATCTCCCTCACTGCTGCTACATTCATTGCAACTGCCAGATTCGTCCTGTTTGTTACTTTTGGCAGGCTTGTAAATCGGTCCGATAAATTCTTTGCTTGTAAAAAACTCTTCATCTGATGCCTTTCTGTATACTGAGAATGACATACTGCTATTTTTAACATCATCTTCACCGACATTATTTGTAACAAAAGGGCTTTTCTTTTCTTCAACTTTAGTGTCACTTACTGGCCCAAATGGAGGATTTACATTCTGCACAGTTTCTGAATCAACTGGCTGACTAAACACTAGATTATTTTCAGGGAGCATTTCATTCAGTGTTCCCAAGACACCAGTAGGTATTTTCTCTTGCTTCTGCATTTCATGTTGCCCTTGGTTATCTGAGGCATACGCTGGTATCAAATAATCTGATGTTGTCTCAGCATCCACCTTCTCCTGAATATCTTGGTCATCATCATCATCAGAGAGTTTCTCATAAGCCCCTTCTGTTGACTTCATTTTTTTATAACATGGTTCAATTGTGATTTCATCCTGACACTCCAAGAGCCTTACTCTATTTTCAGCATGAAGCATCTTAGAAAAAAATTAATACATTATCAGCATGCACATTTTTAAAGTTAAGTCTAAAAAAACCAGAAGTTATTCAGGGCTACTGTATGCATCCCCAGACCCCCCACGGTCACAACTAAAATGTACTCCACCAGAAGAAAAGCAGACATCACCTACCAGTAGTACTGTTTAAACAAAATTGCCACATTGCACATCTTTAGCAAAGAACTACAGTAGTGCCGTACCAGTCTAGCAGTCTATTTTATGATATATCTTAAAAAATTTACAAATCACGCTTTTTAAACACGAATATTTGAAAAATTAATGACATCAACAATCTGTTTTCTACTGACCTGTGTTAACCTGCCAAGTGTTATAAATCTCTTCTACAAGATAAACATGTGCCATTTTCCAATGCACAAAATGATGCCTGACATCACTACTAGTATGACCAACAAAAATGCAAGTACTTCAATCATGAGGATTATTTCCTGTGACACAAACTGAACTCAACTAATTCATTTAACACCAAACAGATGCTGGATGGCATTTATAATTTGGTCAAATAAGCCTTAGAATTAAATCTGCAATCTGATATTATGTTTCTGGTTTTGGAACAACTAAAGACCTTTGTTAGGGACCAAGGCCACTTGGTTGCATGTTTTCTAAAAATAAACACAAAAAAGCAATCCCTGCCCCAAACAGACCGCATTCTAAGAATGAGCCAATTAGTTCCCAAAAAATTCAGAGAGATAAGAGTAATTTTAAAAAAAGCAAGATGGCACTGAGCACCGTGACACACAGTCATGCCATTATCCATCTAACTATCAGAATTACTTGGCTTTACTGCCATATTCCCAAGGTCTAGATAGAATGCAATAAAAAGCAAGCAATTTTATTATAAATAAAGTGTCAAGCAGTTTATTCAGCAAACCCCTCCCCCAAACGAACACAGTACCAAACAAGAAAGAAAGTATTTCTCCTACTAGGGGGTTTATTCTACTGCTTTTTGTGAACATTTCAACTTTCTATACATACATATTAACAAAATGTCACGTGCTTTTCATTCTGGACAAGAAATGAAAGGGGTTTTTCCTTTATCTGAAAAGGATCCGTAGGTAGTATTAAGGGAACATTTGTAAGTAACATTTATCAACTCATGTTCACTTGCAAAACCAACAAGAAAAGGTGTTACACTGGGCACTCTCACCTACTTTCCAAAGGAAAAGAATCCCGCTATCCTCAGTCTCAAAACACCTAAACCAAGGAGATTTTACTGTCTGCATTTGACTTTACTACTTGGAAGACAGCACTAATGTCTGGAGGGGGAGAAACACGGCCATGCAACTAACCCTCTTCCTCAGAATTGGAACAATGCTGTGGGTACTATGGTCTCTCCTCCTCTCACAATACACACGTTTTATGTATTCCTCCAGCTTCTGGATTCCTCCTTTTTGCAAATTAGAAAGATATTATATGAATCATAGACTCCAACCCCCTTCTATCAAAAAATGTTACTCTACCTCCACTCAAAAACAGGACAGGGGGAAAAAAAAAAAAATTGCTTTATTATCTTCTATGTACTCACTTGTCTTCTGTGATGGTGTTTAAGCAGAGCCCATATTCTGATGTGGAATGAAAACAGAGAGCATGTGAACACTTACTGCATGACAATATCTAATGATGGAGGATGCTTCTCTGTGACTGCCCACATACAGGAATATCCTTTCTTGCTAATCTTTAACAGACTTCCTCTGACTATCCTTTGGGACAGTGAAGTTGCATGTGAAAGCACCTTCCCCTGCATTCTTGGGGAGTACTGTATGTACTGAGAAAGTGCAATCTATGTGATAGCCTTGCCTCTTCAATGGGATAGCACAGGTCTGCCATGTTTCTTTAAAGAACTGGTTGTAAGCATTGAACCTGAGCTAGCATATGTGAATCACCAGGCTGGCACTTGCAACACTAAATTATCACTTTAACTAACCTGCCAAACATCACGAAGACTCAAACAAGTAACTCAAGGCCTTAAGCTCCACCAGTACAACAAATTTCCAAATGGAAAAAGGCAGCGTATGTGGCAGAACTTACAGATCGGCCTCGCTCGCACGACCACCTCTTTCTGGGTGCGGAGGTGACAAAGCATGTAGGCCAGCGGCCCTCTCACGGAGCCAAGCC